CTGTGGGGCATTATCTTTTGGGAAATCGCCAAAGCTCCCACATGTGCAGTGCTGTGTCACCAAGCTGGGATTAGCTAATTGCACCATCATCTAATAGTACAATTAGCTGTTTCACTTGGAATAGCCAACCTACGAAGGCCTGTGATGGCACAGTTGGGCAGTGATGTCACAATGAAGCATTGTGATGTCATAATTCATAAGTCATAATTCATGATGACCAGGACATAGCCCTGCTTACCCTGGCCCGAGGCCTGAGGCCCAGTCCATCTTCTCTAGTGTTATTTGGGGTTCTGGAATGGACTCCAGGGCCTCCTGTGGTAGGCAGGGACTCTGTCGTGGAGCCACATTCCCACCCTTCCTTCCATAAGGTCAGGGGCACACAGCCACCCGGTGAGTGCAAAGACCTACAAGGACATACCATCCCCTCCCCGCCCCCCCCATGCACTCTTGCATCTCCAGTGTTGCAGCGGTCTCTAGTGTTTCTCACAGAATTCATGATGGTACAATCCTACCTTTGTTTACAGAAACAGACACCTCCAGGCTTCTGTGTCACCCCATTTTAATCTCGCGGGGAATCTTACAAGGCTGGCACTATTTAAATTAAAAAAAAATTTTTTTTAATGTGTGTGGGGTTTTTTTCTGCATGTTACCGTGTGCGTGCAGTGCACACAGAGGCCACAAGAGGGCGCAGGTGCCCTGGAACTGGAGTTACTAGGATCCCTGAGCCACCTCTCCATCCCCTATTATTTTTTTTTATTAAAATTTGTTGCATTTATCTGTTTTTGTGTGTGCGTGTGTGTGTGTGCGCGTGCGTGCGCGCGGGAGCACACGTGCCATGACACACGGGCGGAGGTCAGAAGACAATGGCCAGTTTCTCTCACTCTACAACGTGCACACTGGGGACCGAACGCAGATCATCGGTCTTGGCGGCGAGCACCCTTGCACGCTGAGCCATCTTGCTGGCCCAAGCTGGTAGCCTTAATCTCCCTACTGGTGATTGAGTCCGCCTGGGTTGCTCAGCTCAGCTCAGCCTTGAACTTGCTCTGTAGCTCGCGCTGGCCGAGAACGCAGCGCCCTAACCCAGCTGGAGGTGTTACAGGCCTTCGTCACCTGGCCAGGCTCATAAATTGGCCCGTATGAGCGAAAATGACCATGCATCCTGGCTGCAGGCATGGCTGGATCCAGTGGCTCAGCCGGGGTCCTTAAGACGCTGTCTTTCGGGCCTCAGCCCCGGCTTCTTTTACGTGGGTTTTGTCCCAGGCTGTTTTACCCAGGCTGCTGGCCCAGGATGATTCCACTGTCCCAGCCACACCCAGGGCTGCCTCTTACTGGGCGGGCTCAGGACACGTGTCCACTCCTGAGCCAATCTCTGAGGGCAGGGAAGCGGATTGCTCTCTCATTGGTCAGACACTATTTGTCTAGAGTTCTTTTCCCTGAAGGCGGGACTGAGGAGGGGGACCAGCCAGGTTCCCACCCAGGAAGGTTATCCTGTATCAATTATGCTAGGTTGCACCACAGCTCTTCCCTTTGTTTTTATATACTTCTGCTCCATATCACAGACTGGCCTTGAACCCTCAATCCTGCCTCCACCTCACGAAGGCAGGCACGCACGACAGGTGTGCTCCATCACGCCCCCACTTCTTCTCCACCTTGCTTCGCCCCTGCTGTGAGCCGAGCATAATTCCCTCCCCCTGGGAATTATGACATGTGATATGTGTTAACCAATGGAATGTGAGATCTTCGTGATCAGCTTTAAGGCGGGGTATGAGGGTCTGCAGGTGCCGAGCCACGTGGCCCAGGTGAGTTTGTAGAGCTCAGAAAAACCCACAGATGCCTGAGACGTGAACGAATTAGGATGCTGCTGAGCTTCCTTGATTATTTTTAAATGATTTATTTTTTATTATTGTTTTGCCTGCGTGTATCTGCGCACCATGTGAGTGTAGTGCCCACGGAGGCCAGGAGAGGGTGTGGAACCGGAGTTACAGATGGTCGTGGGTGCTGGGAATCAAATCCGGGTCCTCTGTGAGAGCAGCCAGTGCTCTTCACCATGGAGCCATCTCTCCATCCCTTCGGTTTGTCTTCCTGATAGTGCAGTCAGCTAGAGTTAACTGATTCAGAAGCCAGCCAAACCCCAAGCCAGAACAATACTGGCATTCGAGAAGCCAGGACCGTCGCCAGGGCCACCAACAGTAAAGGTGACATTTGAATCCAACACGGTGCCCTCATGGCCTCTGCCTCCCTCCGGTGCTTCTGCGTGTGGATCATGACAGTCACCTGGCCCCCCACCCCCCCTCCCCCTGTTGTTCTCTTGACACCTTGTCCCTTCAGGGACCTCTGGCTTCCCTCCTGGAGGGGCTCATTAGGGGTTAGCATGTGTACAAGTGTGACTGCCACTGTCCCCCAAGTTTAAAGCTCTCTGGGAAATAATGGATATAATGCTTTGGTGATCAAAGCAAAGGGGTCAGGTCAAGTGAGGTTGCTCGGGAACTCTGGTCTTAACTGAACACTTACTTCTCAAGGCTGTTAATTATTGCTCAGAGTAGTGCCAGGAATTTTAGCTGCATTGGCTCCAGCCTGTAACCTTAACACGTTTGAGACTGAGGCAGGGACTCTCATGTTCAAGGGTCCCTGCCCCAAACAAACAAATGTGTGTTCCCAGTGGCTGTGCTGCCCCCACCGTCATCCTCTAATAGGATGCTATGAACCTAGGTATGAGGGCCGGTTACAGTTGAAGTTAAATCCTTGTTCCCCTACAGCTCATTATGAAGCCTTGTGTTACAACTGGGGAAACCGAGGCCAGGGCGGGGTGGGGGGGTAGGGGGTGGGACAACACTCATTCATTTTCCTCCACTGCAATACAGAGGTTCTCTGAACTTAGTTTTGTTCCCCAGGACATTAATAGAAACACAAACTTAAGTTCAAATGTTGGCAGAATAGTGGGCTAAAGTCTAAAGGGTATTAATTAACCTGCAGACCTTTTCAGAGCCTTTAATATGCCAGTGCGATGTGTATTTCTGGGGTGCCATTTCTTGTTTGGGCAGTGCTGGGGGTTGGGACCTAAGGCATTAGACCTGGCGTCTGTCCCAGTTGCTCTCAATCCCCAGCTGTACTGATTTGGTAAGATGCAGTAGTTGTCCCTTGGTGGCTTTGACATTGTGGCCATGAACGTTGTACAGCATGCCTGACCACTTGATCATCTGCTCAGCCTGGAAACATGGGGGCCCAAGATAGCTCCAGAGGGAGAGAGCCAGGTGTGTAGGAACCGAAACAAAGAACTGCAGCTGGGGTGGGAGAGGCCACTTCTATGGTCTTGGCTGCTCAACACACAGCCCTGCAGCCCAGCTGTGCCAGCCAACCCCTGGTTCTTGAAGGCAAACAAAACCTGGAACATGTATGTATGTTACCCCAGCCACGCATAGAGCCGTTAGGGGTGGAGATGGAAAGGGAAGACAGCCTTGGTTAGGAGGCTGTGGGCCGTGGGCTTGACCAGACTCTGTGCTAGTAGGAACTGCTTGGTGCTGAGCCTGCTTTGATCTATCCCAAGACTGTCCTGTCCATCCAGGGTCCCTGTGATCCTGATCCATGGCACGGGTCAGTGCAATGACATCTAGAATGCTCTTCAGTTCAGCCGTTGCAGATCCCAGAAAGGGAAACTGAGGCCCAGGGAGAAGGAACCCAGCCACAGGGCAGACTGGTCAACCCTCCTATCACTCCTGACGATTTTGTTTTCATCACAATATGCCAGTTTTGGGGAGGAAAGCTTAGTTAAGGGCAGCTCAGTGTCGCAGTCGGCACTCAGACCCTGTCCAGCTGCCTGCTATGCCTGTCTCAGCTCTGAGTGTCCCACTGGCTTTGGTTTTAGATGGTGTGGGGCTGCCATTATTTTGCAGGTGTTCCTTGGGTCCTGTGTCTGGGAACCAGGTGTGATCTCATTTCTCACCTGATTGGTCCACTGAGGTCATCATGTCTGTCATCTGTGGATTCTCTTTATGATTCCATCCTGGTGTCTTTTGAGTGTTTACCCATGGCCTGTTCTCATGTATCCCCTGGCTATCAGATGTGAACTTACCATGAAAAAGCCTGGTCATGTCCACACACAGTTGACAGTGAAACTGTTCCCTTTGAATGGACTCTGGGTTGCCGGAAGGTTTCAAGAGACTGCCACCCCAGCTGAAGGCTTGGCTGATATGGGGCCTCTGCCCTAAGCCCCACCACATTAGAGGTCCCTTGGACAGGAATGGAGCTGGGGACAAGCAGGGGTGAGGACAGGGTACAACAAAGCCCTCATGCTGTGAGGTTGGACCCCTCCTCCTGGCTCCCCTCCTGATGAGTGCTCTGAACGTAGGACCCCCCCAACACACACCCCTGCAGACCATAAGACAGGTCTCTTCCCTTTCTCTGTGTGGGCACCTGGCCCATGGCACTGTAGCCTCAGGCAGGAGAGACTTCCTGCCTCCCAAGGATGTTGTGGCTGGCAAGGTCCTACTAGTCCCTGGTGAATGAATTGCCCCTAGTAACAGGATTGACCTGTGTCTGGTCCAGCATCATCTGGGCTGGCAAGGATGATGGCAAGCCTGTCCCCAGCTACTCTGCTACCATTTAAGCTGGGAGGATGACAAACAGAAAGGAACTGGGGAGGGACTTATGGTGTGTGGGGGGAGGGGGGTTTAGAAGCCACTCAGCATCAGAAAGAGCTCAGGTTTGATTCTGATTTTGCTCCTGTGGATGGACCATTGGCCACCAAAGATGATGTATAATGCTGGGGTAGCACCAAGCTTGGAGAGCTTTGTAATAACTTGGGCATGGAACACTGCTATGCTACCCCACGCCCGCCTGCCCTACTCCCTGGGGCGCCCTCCTGTGGATCCCAGAGGGAGGGAGCCAACGAGAGTGGAAATGGCTTCACAGCAAGCACACAGCTGAGACACCATCTGTTTTGTTTTTTTTTTTCTCTTTCTCTTCGTTTTTAAAACAATATAGTGCAGACTGCACTTCTCACAGTAGAATATAATGGTCAATTTTAGTATAAAAAAAACATTCTCGGAGATTTGTAAATGCACTTAGTGCTTGGACAGGCCTTGGAGAGATATGGTACCGCTTCCGGAGCGAGCGCCTGGGGCCGGGGAACTGCAGGGCCTTGACCACTTCTTGGATTTATCTATGCCCTCCCCGTCCCCCCAACAGTGCAGGCCTGGGGGAAGGGGGAGTGCAGAAAAGAAGCTGGGTGGGGTATTCCAGTGATAGCCCATAGGTCACCCTCTCACTAGTTCCTCCCAGGAGACTCCACACTCGAAGAAGGCAAGATCGTCCTTGTGAATGGAGTCTGAATTTACAGGCCCCTTGCTAGCCCCTGTGACATCTTTGTGCGAATAGGAAAGCGGTGCCCCTTCCTCAAAATGCAGACAACTGTAATAAATATACAAGTCTAGGATGCAAGTGGCATCTTCTGGGGCAGGGTGCCCTTGTGCAATGCACCAGCTGTCCCCTACAGCCCTGTAAGGTGTACCCGAGGGAAAGGAGAAGAGGAGGGCCCAGCCAGAGTGGAGAGCAGAGGGTGGGATGTGATTCCCAGCAGGAAGGGTATGGAGGGGACAGGGGGCTGGTAATTGTCCTGAGGCCTCTAGGAGTCTGGAGTCGGAGTGGTCTTTACCTGGATTAGTTGGTGGGGATGGGGGCACTTTGGGCCCAGGGACTTCCTATGCTTCCTTTCGCTCCTTTTCTGAGAGACCAGGGGATTGTGGGTAGAGACCCAGTGTGTGTGACTCAGGTTGACTGGAGCACCCCTGGTCTGAGTGCCTCTGCTGGAGCCCCAGAAGGAACTTCCTGTCTGCAGAAGGTCCTCTTTCCCCACCCCATGGAGGAAGGATGGGCCTTACAGGCATCCCTGGACCCTCCCTGCTTCCTAGGGCAGCAAATTGGTGTGTGGGGGAGCCCTGTTGTGTGAGGTCAATCTGCCTGCCCACCGCAGTGCAGGAGTAACCAGCCTGGCTTCCCTGTGGACACATGGCCCCAGGGCAGGTGGGACGCCCTGCTAGCACCCTGCCCTGTGCTGTGGCCTGCCAACCCCAGCACCTTGTCCATCCGTCCATCCGTCCATGTGCCCGCAGGGCAGACCTTATCTGTAGACAGGTAGGCGGATGTGGGCATGCTGGTGGTCCAGCAGCCGGGGCACAGCCACCGTCTCGTAGCCCTTGCCCAGCATCTGCTCCTTGATACAGGGCGGCCGAATGTCATTGATAAGATATTCCAGCGACTGCAGGCTGCTGCTCAGCACTGCTGTGTTGCACACACTCTTGCTGGCCAGGCCCGAGAGTGTGTCTGCAGGAGGCCCCGTTAGCTCCCTGGCAGCTCCTGGCCCCAGCTCTGTCACTACCGCAGCTGCTGCTGGATTGTAGCAGTCGCTAGTAGGTGTCACCAGAACACTGTTCCAAGGGGCAGCGAAGTACTGGCCCACGGTGAAGCTGGTGGGCAGCCCCACGCCACAGTTGTGGGGCGACCCGTTGGCCCTCTCGAATGCCCGTCCGCCACAAGTCTCAGGGGACTTGGCTACAGTGCTGCTACTGTAGGCTCGAAGTGGCTGGGGTGGGGGTGGGGGTGGCTTCTGTGGCCATAACAGGTAATCCAGGCCACCATCTGCATACCCTGCAGGCTTGGTGGCCCCAGGCAGTGTCAGTGCTGGTGTGGCTCCCTGGCTCAGTTCTGTGCCTTTCCGGCAGTCTGGCAGACCGGCTGTGGCAGAATAAGCCATGCTAGGAAAGTTGGGCACCGGGCCATGCTTGGCTGGACTAGGATGGGGCACAGCCACGCCCTGACAGGCGCTTGGTGCAGCACCTGGGGCCTGGCACTGCTGGTTGAGCTGGTAGAGGATGCTATGAATAGAGGGCAGATTGGAGGGTGGCAGGGGAAGGCCCCGGCCCGGCAGAGGGATCACAGAGGTGGCAGTGGCTGCTGCAGGCAAGCTGGGTGGGGGGGCAGGTGCCTCGGGTGGCTTCGGATAGGCCAAAGGCCCCAGAGTGCTGGGCACTGGGTAGGGTGCGATGCCCACCTGCACGGTGGCCGGTGACAGTTTAGTCCGCTTGCCCTCCACACTCTTCAGCACACTTTTGGTGTGTCCAGAGGGCACAGCTGAACTAGAGGAGACAACCGCAGCCTTGACAATGGCCAGCAGGCCCTGATAGCCAGCGGAGTGCTGAGGGTAGGGACTGTAGCGCTGGCCACTGGTATCATAGCCGTTGACTGTGCGGCTCAGGTGCTTGTGCTGAGGCACTCGGATGTTGGTAGGGAAGATCTTGATGGACAGTGGGCTGTTGGCCACCTTCTCAGCGTAGGCATCCAGCTCGGCTGGGCTGGGATAGCGGGAGGAACGCATAGGGCTGGCCACTGACTCACCTGCAGGGAGACAGGCACAAGTGAGCGTCGGGCTGGCAGCCACAACCCTCATTCCCCACCAGGACTCTGGGAGCTGCCCAGTTCCCCTTCCCTCACTGATTTTTCCTGTTCGTCCTCCACTTCCGAAAGCATAAGGTTCTTAGAGGAACCTGCACACGTGTAACACTCCTCAGCCACAGCCAAGCTTGCCACTTCTTTTCCTCTCTGAGACAGGGTCCTGCATGTGTCCCAGGTTGCCCTCAAACTTGATGTGTATACGAGAGTGACTTTGAACTTCTGGTCCTCTTGCCCCTCCCTCTCAAGAGCTAGGGTCACAGCTGTGTGACATCACATCTGTCATGCATACCTGGAATCGAACCCAGAGCCTTATAGTGCTAGGCAAGTGCCCTGCCAACCAGGCATCTTCAGCTCACCCCCAACATCCAGCAACACGGAGTAGCTGTGCTGGCATTCTGGGCTGGGTGAGATGAATCGGATGCCAAGTGCTCATGGTGGCTGGCCTGTTATACTGTGTGTGACATTCTAGATCGTGAGACTTACCCACTATAGATGGTCACTACGGGCTCTGCCATGGGGGAGGTGAGTTGCTGCACAACAGACAGCCCCCCCCCCCCGGCATACTGAGCCATTCTAGACCGAGCACAGCCCAGAGCGTCCTCTGAGGCGGGGTGACGGGGGTCTGCCAGAGGGTGGCACATAGGAAGCCCCATGCCGGTGCTGGCAGAGTTTGGGTGGAATTCTGGTTATGTGGGTTGTGTAGCCCTAGGTGACTGTGTGCTTAGGCAAGCTTCAGTTTTCTCACTTGGTGAATGGCGATAATAATGGTGCCAGGATGAGTGTGGCAGTGCTGAGGGGCCTGGCGGTGTGAGGTACACAGGGGGAGACGGGATATCATAACCCCGGGGGACTTAGGTAAGGGGCTTCACCTTGCTGAGCCTCCATTTCCCCTGAGGGTGGCTGTGATGATTTAGCAGGTCCATGTGGCGTAGGCGGTGCTGAAGGAGAGCAATGTTCAAGTTTGGCCCAGGGCAGGGCCTCAACAGGGATGGACACACCCATGATGTCCTTTCAGTTGGAGGCTTCCTACCTGGTCCTCCCAGAGCCCTGACCTGCATGGCCTTGGTCCAACCTTGGCCTGGCCAGTGGTTCTCTGTGTTAGGCAGGCCAGCAGCAGAGGCAGCTGGGAGGTCAGGGCTCACCACACCAGGCACTCCAAACAATTGGAGATAATATGCCTGTCATGCCTAGGGCTCTGCATACTGGTGGCTTCCAGTTGGACCTGGAGGCTGCCTCAAATCCCACAGTACACAGGACAGAACAGGCGTGATCCTCCCAGCCCCGTGGGCCCGCAAGGCCCAGATTCCACAGGGCAGAAGGAGTCGGTGATAACATGGAACAGGGTAGCATTCCTCCATCTCTCCATCTGTTGAGCCTAACCTGGGCCCAGAAGGTAAGTCCACCCCAGACCCTGCTCTGGGCATCCCCAGATCCTAAGTGGCCTAAAATAAACTTGGTGTGGAGAATGGAAATGTCACTTTGGCCAATGGGGGAATCTTTCTCTGCGATTGGATTTAAACTACATTATACAAGCAATTTCATGGGCGCTTAGCACCGCTCTGAGAGTCCTGTGAAAAAGGGACCAGCTCTTCATTTGCCAGCCATAAATCAGCAGTTGCTATAATGAGCACAAAAATGTCACTTTTATGCAATTTTACAGATGAACAAAACTGGTGAAATTAGCTGTGGAAACCTACCAGACTCAGCAAAAGCAGCTGCCGGGAGGGGGAAAAAATGATAGCCGTGTGTATTTTTGTTCCCCTTAAACTCTCTTTCCAAGCAAGGCTCTGCCATTGTGGTGTGAAAACTCATTTGTCCTCTGCATTATGCTTTCATTCGGAGTTTATCTTGAGTATCCAATGAGCCACCAACTGTGAAAATGATTAAATCTACAAAATCTATCTAATGGATGGAATAAATTAGGTGTTCAGAACCTTAAGAAAGGGGAGGAAATGCCTGCTTCCCTGGTCTTCTTACCAAACGAGGGCCCACCTCGCCCCCGTCTGGTCAGTGGGCCATCCTGCAGATGGTGACTCTCAAGGGAGAGAGCATGTCCTGCATGCAGAACCTCACTGGCTAGGTGCGGGCTCTGCGTCCATTATTTTCTGAGTGGCTTGTGTATGGAGGACCAGACAACTGTGAGAGGGTGGGGACAGCATCCCTGTGATGTACGAAGGGATGATGTGACATGTGGCAGTGAGCCTGGAGACCTGCTTCCCTAGTGATTCTTGCCACCTGGCACTCAAGCCCCTGCAGTCCCCCCCAGGTCCCCACACAGGGCAGGGTTGAACTATATAACCAGTAAGACTCTTTGGCAGAAACATGGTTTTCTGCAGTTTGGCTCTTCCACAGCACCCAGTCACACTGGGACCTTCAGAGGCTATGAGAGTCAAGTTAAGTCCCAGCCATGCCTCCTCAGACACTCAGCCAAGGGGTCCTTGGGTTTCCAAGTCCCATCAGCCACACAGGGTCGTCACCTGTCAAATGGTAAGAAGATACACAGGTTTCCATTTTGTAGGTGAAGAGGTCAGAGGTCACAGCCAGTCAAGGGCAGAGCTAAGTCTGTCTTCTGTATCACCGCCATTCCACCCCGGGGCAGTGCCTGGCAGGGCTGGGGCATATCTGAGGGCCAAGGGCCACCCTCAAGAGCCATTCATCCAGCTGCTCAGGGACTGGTTGGGCTAGTGTTTGGTGAGCCTCTTTCAGGACATGGTGACAGTGAGGCCGCTGGAGTGTCTCATCACAGGCCTGGTTTAATCATGGGCCCCCATATACGCCTTTGAGATAGTTTCCCCGCCTTAAGCCTTGGTCCCCCCAAGGCTGGCTACCCCACAGTGCTTTAAACACAGCCTGTTCTGTAGTGAATAGGGGGAATGGTCCTTATGGTAGGGCTGCGGAGCTCTGTGGGCTCCTCAGCTGAGGATAAGGGGGAGGCTGCATGGCCCCACTGGGGAAACCCAGCACCCGGCCCTGTACCCCCACACCTATGTTCCAGTCAGTTTGGGAGTCTCAGTTGCATCTGTCATCGCTGAAGGGACCACAGTGGACTGACTGCAGTTGGCCTCCACACTCAGCTTGTGCACAGCTGGGGTTCCACTACCCATAGGGCACTGGACGTTTGAGCCTGTCCATTCTGGACCCTGCCAGTGCCTCTGTCTGCCACATACCCGCCGTTTCCTGGGCCCTACCATGCAGACAGCGAGGGAAGGAACCAGCACCCTGGATGGGGATGGCAGAACCCAGAAACAGGATGGTGGCAGGTTGACAGGTGTGGTGGGCACATCTACTGTAAATAGCGGTGTCTGATTCCCCTTGTTTGACATGAATTGGACTAGTGGTCTCATTATATTGAGAAGAATGTAGTGTGGACAGGTAGGGGAGTGGTGCTAAGTGACTTTCATGGGGTGAATTTTTTTTTTTTTAAAGACAGGTTCTCTTTGTGTAGTCCTGGCTGTCCTGAAACTTAACTATGTAGACCTCACAAAACTTCTCACAGAGACTCACCTGCTTCTGCCTCCTGAGTGCTGGGATTAAAGGTGTTCACTACCACTCATGGTGACTTGGTAAAAGGCCATAGACAGGTATCTCACATTCAGAAGACCCTAAACCCTTCTCCCTCCACCCCAGGAACTTCACGGGGCAGCTCCTCACTGTGGTGTCTGCGGCATAGTGGCTGCTTGGCACTGACTCCTGAGACATTTTGACATGCTTCCCTGGGAATCAACAGTGAGGTCCAGTGGACTGCATGGTGGGCTGGAAGGGCCTGTGGCTTGGACCCAGTGGTCAGTGAGGAAGCAAATTCTGAGTAGGAGGGAAAAGAGGCGACTGGGAAGCCATACAGGATCTGAGCAGAGGGACCAGCAACCTAGAGTTGTTGTTGGAAACTGAAATGTCCCCACCCCAGGCCACTGCGGTCATCTTGTGTGTGTTCCACATGGTAGGTTCCCAGGGGAGAGACCCTATTATAAGTAATCCCTTGGAGGGCCCCTGTGTTGAAGGCTTAGTCCTTTGCTGGTGGCATAAGTAGGGCTGACGGGGTCTTGAGGGCACTAATGGGTTAATGCGTCGGTATGTTCATCTTGAGTTGACCATTAGGTGGGCCTGGCTGGAGAAAGTGGGTGCCTTTGAGTATGGGTAGTAGGCAGGAAGGTGACAGGGCAACTGAGTAAGAACGGGCTTTTAGATCCCAGGTCTGCCCCGTGTGCCCTCAAGGTGCCGATGCCCCCTCCATGCCAGCCGTAAATTGGCTTCACACTGCTTGAGCCCTGGAGGGTGTTGGGAGCAGGCACAAAGGACTAGTCTTCCTGGGTGTCCTTGGCCTGGGCCAGTGCTGACAATGATCTCTTTGAAGCTCTTTTGTGACTCAGCTCCTCTGTAAAAGCCTTCAGTAAGATATGCTGTTCAAGGCGACAAAGGAGGTACTGGTCACCTGACCCAGTCCTTGTTCTGCAGTCTCCTTTCCTCTCACAGACCCTGAAGGTGCACACTGTCACAGCTTCCCCTGGGTCAGGCACTGTGCCCTCCTGAGTCTGCTTCGAAGGGCCCAATGCTCCAAAAAAATGGTTAGACATGCAGGGTTAGCATCAAGTAAGGGTGACCTGGGCTGCCTCTCCCAGCTCAGCTCTCCCCTAATCCATCTCCATCCAGGAAGCCCCCATTAATGGCTTGTCTGGAGATTTAAAAGGCTGGCAGGAAGTGCTGGGAGAGCTGTCGCTGCCATTAAGTTAATGTTATGGGCCTTTTACAGGTGCGTTAAATAGACGCAGTTATTAACGAGTATATTAAGCCAATTAAAACCAGCCCTCTGAGTGGGGTTTAATGTTGCCTCAGGGAGACAAGAGAGGGCTTCACTGCACTGCTGCCAGTGGCGGCAGGCAGGGAAGGGAGGGCAGGTTCTGCTGTGGGGACCACAGAGCATCAAGAAGCTAAGTGGTGGAGTTGGG